TGGGCTGGGCCACAAATCCAGTCACCTGTTGCATTCAAGCTTCTCTAGCTTTTTTTTTTTTTTTTAGTGCTTTATTTTACTTTTCTTCCTTCTCACTTTCTTTGTCACAGACACAATCTCACGTTTGTACCCACTAGGTGCCCAGCTCTGCCACAAGCCCTGGGCTAACCCCCGTAAAAAGCCTTACACATGGCTGGGTGTGGTGGCCTCACACTTGTAATCCCAGCACTTTGGGAGGCCAAGGTGGGCAGATCACGAGGTCAGGAGTTCGAGACCAGCCTGGCCAACATGGTGAAACCCCCATCTTCACAAAAATATAAAAATTAGCCAGGCGTGGTGGCAGGGGACTGTAATCCCAGCTACTTGGGGAGGCTAAGGCAGGAGAATCACTTGAACCTTGGAGCCAAGATCACACCATTGCACTCCAGCTTGGGTGACAGAGCAAGACTCTGTCTCAAAACAAACAAAAAGCCTCAGCCGGGCACGATGGCTCACACCTGTAATCCCAGGCAGATGAATCATGAGGTCAGGAGATCGAGACCATCCTGGCTAACATGGTGAAACCCCGTCTCTACTAAAAATACAAAAACATTAGCCGGGCGTGGTGGCATGCGCCTGTAGTCCCAGCTACTCGAGAGGCTGAGGCAGGAGAGTCGCTCAAACCCAGGAGGCGGAGGTTGCAGTGAGCCGAGATAGAGCCACTGCACTCCAACCAGGCAACAGAGCGAGACTGTGTCTCAAAAAGAGGGAAAAAAAAAAGCCTCATACACATTAACATGCATACACATGGCCCCAACACACTCAGACTCTTCTGTTTTGTCTTCAGGGCAGGTCTGGCAACCACAGGATGTCCCGCCTATCCCCCTGCCCTCTGAGATGCCCCACTTGTTTTTCTGGTGCTGATCAAGTCCTCTCTTATATCTTCCCGTCTGCTGCTGGATTAACGGTTGTCAACATTTACTCCTGTATTGAGTGCCTACTCAGTGCCAGGCTCCACCCTGTCTACTTCACGTGCTGCATTAATCAGGAGTGCGTTAAGTTGCAGGTAACAGAAACCCCACTCAGCAGTTTAACCACATAAATGTCTGTGCACCTCACTCAACAAGTAGACTCTGCAGCATCTCTGGGGCCAAGGCTCCTTCCTGCCTCACTGTCCTCCACACAGCTTTTGGTCCTGGGGGCACAAGATGGCTGAGGGCTGCAAAAAGTCAGAGAATGGCACTTAGTCTGCCCCCCTTATTCAGAAAACAATGGCTTCCCTGAGGCTTCACCCAGGTGGCTCCCACAGTGCCTCACCGGCTGGGAAGGATGCAGAGGCATTTCTGATTGGACCCACGTCCTCTAAAGAAATGAGGATCAGGGACCCTGAGTCCAGAAAGCCTGGCTTCTTTTCACCCTCTGTACTTGCTCTCATCTAGTCCTTATATCCAGAATGCCCCTCCTGCCAGCTGTAGCTACTGAACTCCTACCTCTCCAGAAAGCCCAGTTCAGATGCTCCCTCCTCCATACAGTCTTCCCAGATTGCTCCTCCAGAGTCTTCCCCCCTTCTGAATCTGTTGGTCCTCTTGACTCCTACCTGCCTTGATCATTGCACCTGTCTGGACAGAGCCTGATGAGAATTCTAACTACCCAGAGGACTTTCCCAGCAGAACGAGTGTATGAGCACACAAATAAATCATGGGTTCTTGCTTTTAGTCCATGTTTATACTTTTCAATCTTGTTCAAGTCCTCTCCCCACCTACAGTCCTCCCCCAGCCACTCTTACCTCCACGATGGCTGCTCCAGGGAGCAGAGCTCATGTTCCTGATGCCTTTCATTTGTCATTGTGCTGTGTGACTCTGGCCACAACAGGGAGCATCTCTGAACTCACTGAGTTATCTATCAAATGAAAGACTATACTCTAAATTTCTTCTCATACTGAAAACCTCAACCACACTGGAATTCAAACCTTGGGGCAGGGAAAGGATTCTATCACATTCTTATCTTTCAGTTTAAAGGCAGTAAAATTGTTTCAGTGGAATTGTCACAGCCATTATTGAAGTTTTTATTAAATTAAATATATAGAAAAGTGCATACATCAGGCTGGGCACAGTGGCTCATGCCTGTAATCCCAACACTTTGGGAAGCTCAAGCAGGAGAATCACTTGAACCCAGGAGGCGGAGGTTGCAGTGAGCCAACATTGCGCCACTGCATTCCAGCCTGACAACAGAGTGAGACTCCGTCACACAAAGAGTTCATATCTCTTTCTTTTTTTTCTTTTTTTGAGATGCAGTCTCACTCTGTTGCCCAGGCTGGAGTGCAGTGGCACGATCTCAGTTTACTGCAACCTCTGTCTCCTGGGTTCAGGAGACAGGCTTCGAGTAGTTGGGATTGCAGGCGCCTGCCACTAGGCCTGGCTAATTTTTGTATTTCTAATAGAGATGGGGTTTCACATGTTGGCCAGGCTGGTCTTGAACTCCTGACCTTGTGATTTACCCGCCTCTACCTCCTAAAGTGGATTACAGGGACGAGCCACTGTGCCCAGCCAAAAGTGCATGTATTTTAGGTGTCCAGCTTGGTTAATACTTGTAAAGAGAACATACCCATGTAATCACCACCCAGATCAAGACTGGGAATGCGACCGTCTCCTAAAGTTCCATGCCTCTCCAAGCACTGCTTCCCTGGTTACTATTGCCATTCTGACTTGTAACGGCGCAGCACGGCTTGCCTAGATTTGGACCTTTCATGTTAATGGAGACACATGGCGTGCACAGGTTGATGACTGTCTTTTCACTGAACATTACGACTGTGAGAGTCGCTCACATTGCCTATCACTAGTTGTTCTTTTCCTTTACCCTACAGTATTCCAGTGTACGAGTACACCACAATTTATCCATCACTCCATAAATGATGGATATTTGGGTAGTTTCCAGTTTGGGACAATTAAGAGTAAAGATACTATGAATTTTATATTTGTGTCTTTCGGTGAACAATAGCCCTCATTTCACTCAGGTACACATCAGGAGTGGTGCTGCTGGGTCATGGAGCAGTGAGGTCAGCATGAGTAGCCACTGCTGGGCTTGCTGTTTTAGATGATGTTTGAGCTGGCAGGGGTAGACATTCCTACTGTACTGGGTACAGTACAGTAGGAATGTTGGACCCAGGAGAGCCCAGTGGCCAAGGAAAAGGGATCTCCCAGGGCAGACCCACAAGCAACCTCCAGAAAAACCTCCAAGCTGAGGAAGCCCTCCATGCTACCACCAGGCTGAGGAAGCCCTCCGTGCTACCACCTCCATCTGGGTCTCCCACTGTCCTCTGGAGTAGTGGCTCAAGCCAGCCTCACTGCCGTCTCCTCCACACACCTCACGATGCCAGCCCTCTAGTGGTCAGAAACTTGGTGTTGACTCACTGCCTAACGAGTGGACAGAGGCTGGGATACTGTGTTCAGATGCCAGGCAGCCCCCAGCAACCAGAGCCCTCTCCTTGCTAGCCCTCTGCTGTAATCAGCTGGTAGACACGAGCCCCGGCTGAGAGCAATAGGGACCAGGAACTGTGCCAACATCACTTCTCAGCCTCATAGCCTGATGTCTGCAATATCAGCCCACTCTGTGAATGCACATCTAGGAAGCAGATGCCCCAGACTTGCATTGACCAGGACCACAAAGATGCTCAGGACACAGGCAGGAAGGGGCACACTGAGGAGATGTGGGATAGATGAGGGGAGCTCCCAGACGAATCCTGGGTCCTCCTTTAGTGGAACCACATCTAATTCCCAGGAAATCATCCAATCTATTACTTGTAACCCACGCCCTGAAGTTGCCAAACTCAAAAAGAGTGCATTCAGTGCATCTACCTGGAAGTGTGAAGGCCCACAGCATCTGGGCCTGCCCCGACACACACATATTTATGTGTCGTCACATGCCTTGGCCAGGCCCTGGCCACCTGCAGCTTCCCTTCAGCCACCTCCTAACCTACCCTGGGTCCTATGGCTTAAGGGGCTCAGAGTGCACTTTCTTAGGGGGTGCTGGTTCTAGGATCCCTGCCTGGGCCACTCTGTCCTGTTCTTTCTTGTCACCAAAGAGCATGTTCAAGCCGGCTCCAGTCCCGTGTTGTGCATGGCCCTGGGGAGTGAAGATGGGAGCCATCAGCACTATTGGTCAGACCTTCACAGCGGTGCAAAGGCCGCAGCTGAATGCCAACGGTAGCCTGAGCAGGAAGGCTTCCTCTCATTTGGTCTGAGTATATATATGCAACAGCAATTAAAAGGACAGGAATGGCGAGGCACAGAGACTCACATCTGTAATCCTAGCACTTTGGGAGGAAGAAGCAGGAGGATCACCTGAGCCCAGGAGTTCGAGACCAGCCTGGGCAATACAGTGAGACAGTATCTCTAAAAAAAAAAAAAAAAATCTAAATTAGCTGGATATGTTGGAGCCTGCCTATAGTCCCAGCTATTCCAGGGACTGAGGCAGGAGCATTGCTGTGGGGAGGGGTGTGGAGGCTGCAAAATAAAGGCCAGAAAAGGGGATTCTATGCTGGGAGAACAATCTGTAGGGGAGGCTCCGAGCCACATCTGGGGGACAAGGCTGAAGCCATTCACATGCCAATAGGTAAAGGAGGTACACCTTCATGGTCGCGGTGGGGGTGGTGGTGGTTGGAGGAACATGCAAGGGCAGGCCTTGTGGGGCCCCAAACACCTCTGGGCCAAGCCTCCAAGATGGGGCTTTTACCCCAGCGCGAGGCTCTAGAAGTTAGTGCCGGAGTGCCCCTTTTAGGTTTACGGTATAAACCTTTCTTGTTGTTTTGATGGCCTTCAGTCAAGAAGGGGGCTTGCTCGTCAGCCCCACTAAGCGTTAGCCCTGGGTGACACAATACAGGCTTTCACTAGGGTCCAATGAAGTTGACAAATCTGCCAGGGACACACAGTGAGAGTTCCGAAGCAGCGTTGGAACCGTTCTGCGCTGAACCGAGTGCGGGAATTAACCCGCTGCAGGAACCCACATCAGAATCTGTGCAAAATACACATATTTGTATTTAAAATCTGGGCAAAATACACATATTTCTCTCCAAAGTTATAATTTCCGGGGGTACAGGCCAGGAATGTACATTTGGAACACGTGCCCCAGTGATTCTCACGCATGTTGGTCAAGTAAGAACTCAGCCCGCAGCCCAAAGGTGCGCGACCCGGCCTAGGTCCACCCGCCGCCCGCCCCCGAGCCACCTAAGGCCGCAGCTGACGCGCCTCGCCCTCCGGGGACAACCAGGCCCCGGCCTCTTCCGCAGACTCCGCGCTCCGGGCCGCGGCGCCCCCTCGCGGCCACCGGGGTCGGCAGGCTGGGGCTCAGTTGGTCTAAGGATTCGAGCGGGGACGCTTCGGGCCCGCACGAGAAGTGACCAGCATGGTCCCCGCCGGCAGCTCGGGGCCGGAGGGTTTCAGTTCCAGCGCGAGGCCAACCCAAACCCAGGGTTCAAGAGTCAGCACACGCCGCCTGCGCCTGGCTCCCGCAGCGCCGTCCTGGACGTAACCCCGATAGCGTCAGCGGCGCGCGCGCCCGCGACCGACGTGCGCAGGCGCCCACTGGCTGCGAGCCGCCATTGCTCTCCTGCCGCTGAAGGGAGAGTTTGTTAGCAGTCGGCGAGCCTGGACGGAAGGCGGAGTGCGACGCCTCAACGACAGCGGCCCGGAGTTGCAGGAGCAACACACTTAGGGCGGGGTGCCCCGTTTAGGCCTGGCTGACCGGAGTAAGAAACTACAACCCCCGAAGTGCATTGCGCCGCAGGGTTGCGGAGCCAGTGACGTAAGCTGTCTTGACCGCTACCATTTCTCTGGTGGAGGGGGGACGAGCGCTGCTTGCGGCTGGAGGGTCGCGGATGTCAGCGCTCGGGTGCTGAGCTCCGGTTCTCGAAGTGCCTTTGCGAACCTGCTATTTGACCAGTTTAAACTGACGGTCTATTTAGCCTTAGCTACAGATACCCACTGGCTGCGTACCCGCCGCCTTTCAACCCCCGGGCGGGCCACTGAGCCAGCCTGATAACCATTGATAACCATTACTGTTATTTAGTCTTTATTTTGAAGCACTTTCAAGTAACTCCTGTATATACTTTGCTGAGAGTCGCGAGTTGTTAACTTCTTTAGTCCCATCTACCTTATCATTTTCTATGTTCTTCTCGCTGCCTTTATTTTCCCTGGACCACGTGAGTTAGTTGCACATTGTCTAAAAACAAGGACACGCTCCTGCATTCAAAATCGGGTAACATTGATCAAGACTTTTTCTGACCCATAGTCCACATTTAAATGTTTTCTGTTGTCCTAATAATGCCCTTTATGGAAATTTTCCTTCCTCCTTCCCTCCCTCCCTCCTCCTTTATTCCTTCCTTCCTCCCGCCCTCGCTCCCATCTTTTTTTTTTTTTGGCAGAGTCTCCCACTGTCGCCCAGGCTGAAGGGCAGTTGCACAATCTAGGCTCACTGCAGCCTCCCCTCCCGGGTTCAAGCGATTCTCTGGCCTCAGCCTCCCAAATAGCTGGGGTTACAAGCATGGTCCACCATGCCTGGCTAATTTATCTTTAGTAGAGACGGAGTTTCACCATGTTGGCATGCTGGTGTCGAACTCCTGACCTCAAGTGATCCATCTGCCTAGATCTCCCAAGGTGCTGGGATTACAAGCCTGAGCCACTACACCCGGCCCAAATACCCTTTTCGTGGTCCAGGACCCGATCCAGGAGCACACGTTGCATTCTGCTGTCCTGTCTGTTTAGTCTCCTTCAGTCTGGAGCAGCTCCTCAGGTTTTCCATGACCTCATGACCTTGATACTTTTGAAGATTCCTGGCCAGTTGTTTTGTAGAACAAGGTTTAGGGTTGTCTGAGATTTTTGTTTGTTTGCCTTTTTCTTTCTTTCTTTCTTATTTTAGTTTAGGTCTGTTCTGCTTATGTATGTCTGAGGTTTCCTTACTACTGGACTCTTATGTATTATTTTGATGCTGTTATTCAAAGTGTCCCGCCTCCCCGGGCTCTGGATACACTCCCAGACACTGCCAGGTCGGCCCCTTCCTGTGGGTGCTTCTCCTGCTCGGGTTCACTCTCACCTTACGAAGATCTCTGACTTCTCTGTAGCATACACTCTGGAGCCATGGTCCACGCCTTCCTCGTTCACACCTTGAGGGCCCCAAATGCTGAGGACACAGGCCTTTGCCGAGTGCTCTACTCCTGTGTCTTTGGTGCTGAGAAATCACCTGATGACCCACGGCCACATGGTGCTGAGAGGGACAGGCTTCTCCGGAAGGAACAGATTTTAGCCGTGGCCAGGTAATGACATAGCCCCAGGCCTTCACTGAACATGTGCCTGGTGGGCAGATCACCAGGTCAGGAGATTGTAATAGGTATTCTGGGGGAGTGGGGATGCAGAGGAATAGAAGGACTAAGAAGCAGAGAGAAGGTTTTAGAGTAGTATTTTCCAGAGTCTTCCATGGCTGTTCATAAGTGTTATGTGAAAAGGGTTAAATAATAATTCTATGATCATCATTATTAGTACAGTTAACATTTGTTCAGCCTGTAAGTGCTAAGCATTTATGTTCTGAACATCTCATGTGTATTAAGTTGTTTAACCTCATAGTAGTCTTTTGAGGTAGGTATATTTATTATCTTACAGTTGAGTAGAGTGTTTAAGGCATTTAGCTTGTCCAGGGTTATGCAGCTAGGAAGTAGCAGAACTAAAATTTGAGAGTAGGCAGGCAGATAGTACAGATTAAACATGCTTTTCAGTGCTTAACAGGACCTTTAGTGTGCCTGTAGACTTTATGAATCTCTAAGGAAGAGAGAGGGTGTAGTACATGAGGATTCCAGAAAGCCAGGGATCCAGAGCAGTTTGGAATATACTCTTCCTGACTAGGGTGCCCAGCCTTGGATCTCTGGAAGGTGATTCAGGAAAGATCAAAGGGAGCTTCTTTTTTTTTTTTTTTTTTTTTTGAGGTGGAGTCTTACTCTGTCACCCAGGCTGGAGTACAGTGGTGCGATCTTGGCTCACTACAACCTCTGTCTCTGGATTCAAGCAATTCTCCAGCCTCAGCCTCTTGAGTAGCTGGGTTTACAGGCACCCAATACCACACCTGGCTAATTTTTATGTTTTTAGTAGAGATAGGGTTTCATCTTGTTGGCCAGGCTGGTCTTGAACTCCTGACCTCAGGTGATCTGCCTACTTCAGCCTCCCAGCATGCTGGGATTACAGGTGTGAACCACTGTGCCCGGCCAAAGGGAGCTTCTAAGAAGCCTTATTAGTCCAATGGAAGGTCTTTCTTTAATACTTGGAGAGGGTTGCAGGATAGGATGAGGGTGGATATTGGATAGCCCATGTTGGATGATGGCATTTGTTTTCCACCTCATCCCTTACTTTCCTTTATGTGGAGAAGGCCTCTGTGAAGCAGATGAGGGCAGAATCTTCCTCTGGTGCCCTTTTTCAGCCCAAGGAGCTTGGTTGAAAACCTGCCTTCTTGGCTACATGGAATAAAGTAGTTCAGGACCTGGAGGCTCATGCTTCCTGATTCTGTGGCCCTGGACAGATCACTTAGTCTTTCTAGGCCTCAGTTTTCTCACCTGAGATAATGGGGATGATGGTAGCTCCCAGAGCCAGGTGTGGTCATGAAGATGACAAAGTTGGCGTGTGAGCCCCCCAGCCTGACCTGCCCACTCTCCCCAGGCAGGTGGAGTCAATGTGCCGGCTGCAGCAGCAGGCGTCTGGCCGGCCCTCCATGGACCTGCAGCTGCAGTCCTCAGATGAGCAAGTGTCCCTGGCCGAGGCCCCACGTGGGGCCTTCCGGCTGGCAGCAGGGGACCCTTTTCAGGAGCCACGGACAGTGGTGTGGCTGGGCGTGCTCTCATTAGGCTTTGCCCTGGTGCTGGACGCCCATGAGAATCTGCTGCTGGCTGAGGGCACACTCCGGCTGCTGGCACGCCTCCTCCTTGACCACCTCCGGCTACTGGCGCCCAGCACCAACCTCCTGCTGCGAGCTGACCGCATCGAGGGCATCCTCACCCGCTTCCTGCCCCATGGTCAGCTACTTTTCCTCAACGACCAGTTTGTCCAAGGCCTGGAGAAGGAATTCAGTGCTGCTTGGCCCCGCTGATTCCTCATTGGGATGGTGCTTCGGAGGGCAGGCAGAAGGTAGACACACAGCCACATGAAGCTTGGCCTCTATCTCCTGCCCAGCCTGCTCCCAGCTCTGATGTGCTGCTGTACCGGGACAAGTGGGGGGCAAGCCTGCAGAAAGGAGGCTGGGCAGAGGGCGGAGGAAGTCCTGTCTGTCCTCAGGTTAGTGGAACCACAGAACATCCTGAGCCTAGAGCTGCTGTGTAACTTAGACCACTGCAGTGTGGCAGCCATGCTTGTCCTTGACCCCACCTTCCTCCACCCCCAACAGCCACTAGTGTAGGGTGAGGAGCTACCTGGAACTCAGCCCACCTTCTCCTTTCAAACCCACAGTCAAGGCCAGGTGTGCGTGGTGGCTCATGCCTGTAATCCCAGCACTTTTGGAGGCTGATCACGAGGTCAGGAGTTTGAGACCCGTGAAACCTGGTCTCTACTAAAAATACAAAATTTAGCCGGGTGTGTGGTGCACACCTGTGGTCCCAGCTACTTGGCCAACATAGCGAAACCTCATCTCTACTAAAAATACAAAAATTAGCCGGGTGTGTGGTGCACACCTGTAGTCCCAGCTACTTGGGAGGCTGAGGTAGGAGAATCATGTGAACCTGGTAGGCAGTGAGCCGAGATCATGCCATTGCACTCCAGCCTTTGTGACAGTGTAAGACTCCATCTCAAAAACAAAACAAAAACCCACAGTCATTGCAACACGAAAGGGGTCTCAGACTCCCCTGAGAGTGGAGGAGCTGTGCCTGCAGGCTGGCAGACCGCAGCGCCTGCCTTGTGCCACTTAGGCAGTATTATCGACAAGGTCCTACTCAGTGTCCAGCCCCCACAGAGTTCAGAAACGCATCTGCTGATCAGCAGCAGGATTCTGCAGCTCCTTTTGTGCCAAGCCCATGCCTACCAGGCAGGCTCGAGATAAAACCATCATGGGCTTCCCTCATCTGCAGGGAGAGAAGGTGCCATCAGGGAAATGTGAGAGGTCTGCACTAAATAATGTATTTCTCATTTTGAATTAAAAGCACTGGCTATGTGATTTCACCCTCTCTTTCTGTGAGTTTGATGCATGCATCCTGCTCCTATGAGTGAGTGCCTCTCTGGATGGCCCCCAAGGTGGGTGTCTGAGCCTTCATGGTCAAGGATCCCCCTAGGAGGCCTCCCTCTTTCATCCCCACCTCACCTCTGTCTCCTTAGAGGCCTCCTTTGGATGGTGGTACACACTTCCTCTACCAAAACATATATCACAGGTGGCGGGCGACTGTGGCAGAGTTACCTGAGAAGCAGAGCCTGAGCCAAGAATTGGTGCAAGTGGGTTATGTGGGGTGGGAGGTGATCCCGTGAAGCAGGAAGGGGCGGCAGTCCACGTGAGTGCTTTTTAAGCCTGTTAGGACTGTGGTAGGGAGCCGAGTGCCTCTGGGTGCCTGCACGTAGCAGTTGCCTCTGAATTACCTCACCTGAGGGGTGGCGGCTATGGGGGTTTGCCTACTGCTGCCTTTAGTCAGTGGTTACAGGTTGATCCCAGGATGCATACGTTCCCTGGCTCTTTCTGCCCCTGGGAAAAAGCCCTTAGGCAACGTGGACCTGGACCTGCCTGTACCATGTTGAGTCCCAAAGGGATATGGATGGGGTACCAAACCCTGGTTGGTCGGTTGGTCGTTAGGTAGTGTTCAGTCAGCAGCTTCTAGTGAAGATTTAAACCTACTCATTTCGGGGGGACAAACCCACCTCAGTTTACATTGGTTTTCATTACCCTCCTGTTACCAAGGAATGTGAGGCTTTCTTGGCAGAACGAGCCTCTATGTGGTCAGCTTCATCTCATGCTTGCCACCTATCAGTTGCCCTTTAGCACCCAGGACAGACCCACCTGTACCCACTTAGGAGGCAGCACTGATGATTAGCCCTTTCAAGTGCATGGCCAAGGCCACCAGCCATGCCACGCCTTCTACCATTACTGTCACCATAATTAGGATAAGGCCACCTTTTCCATTTTAAAGTGCCTCAAACCACCTTGACCTTGAAGACTTAAAGCGATGTTTCTCTGTGTGTGTGATCAAGTCTCAGTGGAAATGTCCCACAGGCCTCTAGTAGGGACACCCCTTCCCTATACATTCTGTTCTTCTGGCCTACCCCTCCCACCCAACTCCTCAGATTGGTGTCGTGGTGGATTGTTCTCATGGGAACAGGCCATTTTGGCCTCTATGGAAGGGCTCAAGCTTCTGATCTGCCTATTTTTCTTTTTTTTAATGTATATACTTTTTTTTTAGACTAGTCAAGTGCAGTAGTGAGAAGGGGGGAAAGAGTAGAATAGGAGTTCTATCTGTAACTGACTGTGAACAATCGAGATAAGTCACTACCTTCAGACCAGCCTGATCTATTTATCTTTCAAACTGAACTTAAGGAAGAGGTTGAGATCCTGCTCCCCTGGGAGCTGTGGGAATTTGAGGTTAGGCATAGCTGGTGGCCTGGTTCCCGTGAGATGGGGCAAACTGAGAGAATAGTAGAGACTGAGACCACACCCTGGAGCTGCTGAGCTCCAGTTCCTATTGTTCCAGCTACCCGGTTGGACCAGGTTTTCCTTAACCAGATGAGCTTGCCCAGCACCCTTCCGACACTTCCTGCTTCTGCCCCAGCCCCTTGGGCTGGGTTTCCACCACAACTTATGTTCACCTTATATTCATCGAGCCTCCCTTGGGCCTGATGCTCTGCTGGGTGCAATGCAGAATGTCTCCAGGGTTCCAGGAGAGATACAGCTAAGGCCAAGTGACTGCAGGTGACTGGAAAGCAGCAGTGGCTTGAGTATCCCTGAATTGGTGCTCACAAGGCTTTAAACACCCAAGAGGAAGAATGGTCACTTTAGTGAGGAAGGCCTAGTGAAGGAGCCAGGATTTAGAAGTGAAAGTGAGATGGCTGCAGAAGCAAACTTGCTTCCATCTCCAAGCCTCTTCCCTTTCCTCGCCCTGCCCCAGGAACCCTGGCCAAACCACATGTCCCTCAGCTTCCTGAGAGAACTAGAGACTTTGAGCAGCTGGTAGTGTTACCAGCATACCTCCACAAACACTCCTGGGACAACAGGAGATGACAGGAGGGCAGTAGAGCCCAGAGAAGAGAGCTTACCTGGAGGAAGGAAGAAGTCACAGCTTTTAAGCCAGGAACTGGTCTGCATATATGTGGGGTTGGGAGGGTTGGGAGGGTGGCGAGGCCTGGGATGGGATTAGATCATCACGTCTCCTTTAGGGCAGGGTGTTCTTTTCTAGCCCTGTCCAGCATCCCCCTAGGTCTCTCTCTTTTTTTTTTTTTTAAACGAGATGGGGTCTCAGTCTGTCACCCAGGCTGGAGTGCAGTGGTGCAGTCTTGGGTCACTGCCACCTTTACCTCCTGGGTTTAAGCAATTCTCCTGCCTCAGCCTCCCAAGTAGCTGGGATTACAAGGGCGCACCACCATCCCTGGCTAATTTTTTTTTCTTTTTGAGAGCAGAGTCTCGCTCTGTCACCCAGGCTAGAGTGCAGTGGCACAATCTCAGCTCACTGCAACCTCTGCCTACAGGGTTCAGGCGATTCTTCTGCCTCAGCCTCCCGAGTAACTGGGGCTGTAAGCGTGCGCCACCACACCCAGCCAATATTCATATTTTTAGTAGAGATAAGGTTTCATTGTATCGACCAGGCTGGTGTTGAACTCCTGACCTGAGTGATCCACCTGCTTCGGCCTCCCAAAGTGCTGGGATTACAGGAATGAGCCACTGTGCCTGACTGGCTTTTGGCCATTCTAATAGGTGTGTAGTGAAATCTTGTTTTAATTTGCAGTTCCCTAATAACTTGATATAGAGTATTTTTTCTGGGCTTATTTTCCATCTGTAAATCTTTAGTAAGGTGTCTGTTCAAGTCTTTTGTCCATTTCAAAACAGAAAGTTTGTTTGGGTGATTTGTTTTCTTTTCACTGAGTTTTAAGAGTTCTTTGTATATTTTGGTTAACAGCCCTTTATCAGATGCACCTTTTGCAAATATTTTCTCCCAGTCTGTGCCTTGTCTTATTCTTTTGACAGGGTCTTTCACAAAGCAGAACTTTTTACCTTTAATGAAGTCCAGTTTCATATAATTTAATGATATGGGCCAGGCGTAGTGGTTCATGAAGCCTGTAGTCCCAGCACTTTGGGAGGCCAAGGTAGGAGGATTGCTTAAGCCCAGGAGTTTGAAACCAGTTTGTGCAACATAGATACTTTGTCTCTACAGAGATAGAAAAATTGGCAGAGTGTGGTGCACACCTGTGGTCCCAGCTACTTGAGAGGCTGTCAAAGAATTGCTTAAGCCCAGGAGGTCAAGGCTGCACTGAGCTGTGATTGTGCCACTGCACTCCAACCTGGATGACAGAGCAAGACCTTGCCTCCAAAAAAAATGTAATGAAGCTTGTCAATTTTTTTTGTTGGTTTGTTTTTGAGACAGTCTCACTCTATCGCCCAGGCTGGAGTGCAGTGACGCAATCTCTGCTCACTACAGCCTTCGCCTCCCGGGTTCCAACAATTCTCCTGCCTCAGCCTCCTGAGTAGCTAAGACTACAGGCGTACACCACCACACCCAGCTAATTTTTGTGTTCTTAGTAGAGACAGGGTTTCGCCATGTTGGCCAGGATGGTCTCGATCTCCTGACCTTGTGATCCATTCACCTCAGCCTCCCAAAGTGTTGAGATTACAGGCAGGAGCCACTGTGCCCACCTGTCAATTTTTTTTTTTCTGAGGTGGAGTTTCACTTTTGTTGCCCAGGCTAGAGTGCAATGGCACGATCTCAGCTCCCCACAACCTCTGCCTTCCAGGTTCAAGCGATTCTCCTGCCTCAGCCTCCCAAGTAGCTGGGATTACGGGCATGAGCCACCACACCTGGCCACCAGGCTATCTCGATTACTGTAACTTTATAGTAAGTCTCGAAGTCAGTGTCAATCTCCAACTTTCTTCTTCATATATATGTAAATATATGTATGTATGTATGTATGTGTATTTTTTTTTTTTGGAGGCAGGGTCTTTACTCTGTCACCCAGGCAGGCTCTAGTACAGTAGTGTGATCACAGCTCACCGTGGCCTGGAAGTCCCTGGCTCAAGCGATCCTCTCACCACAGACATGCACCACCACACCCAGCTAAATTTTAAGTATTTTGTAGAGACAGGGTCTTGCTGTGTCATCCAGACTGGCCTTGAACTCCTAAGCTCAAGCAATCCTCCCACCTTGGCCTTTGAAAGTGGGCAATGTGGTTTTAATATTAAATTGCACTTGCTGGCTGGGCACAGTGGCTCACACCTATAATCCCGGCACTTTGGGAGGCTGAGGCAGGTGGATCATCTGAGGTCAGGAGTTCGAGACCAGCCTAGCCAACATGGCAGAAACCTTGTCTCTCCTAAAAATACAAATATTGGGCCGGGTGTGGTGGCTCACGCCTGTAATCCCAGCACGTTGGGAGGCCAAGGTGGGTGGATCATAAGGTCAGGAGTTCAAGACCAGCCTGGCCAAAAATGGTGAAACCCCATCTCTAAAAAATAAATAAATAATAAAAATACAAAAATTAGCCAAGAGTGGTGGCACATGTCTGTAATCCCAGCTACTAGGGAGGCTGAGGCAGGAGAATCATTTGAACCTGGGAGGCAGAGGTTGCAGTGAGCTGAGATCATGCCACGCCACTGTACTTCAGCCTGGGCAACAGAGTGAGACTCTGTCCCCCACCCCCCCCAAAAAATTGCACTTGCTTATTGCTTTTGTAAGTGAAAGCAATAGACTTTTTTTTTTTGAGAATCTCACTCTGTTGCCGAGGCTGGGGTACAGTGGTACAGTCCTGGCTCACTGCAACCTCTGCCTCCTGGGCTCAAGTGATCCCCCAACCTCAGTCTTCCAAGTAGCTGCAGGTGTGCACCACCAAGCCTGGCTAAATTTTTGTATTTTTAGTAGCGACAAGGTTTTACTCTGTTGCCCTAGCTGATCTCAAACTCCTGACCTCAAGTGATCCACCCACTGTGGCCTCCTGAAGTGCTTGAGTTACAGGCATCAGCCATCATGCCTAGGTAA